TGCAGTACCATCCACACTGTCGTCTTCAGGACAGGAGAGACAAATAAATTCCTGCATTTCTCTCATCAAGCTGCTTGGCCTCTCTTCCTCTGTCTCTGTCCTCCAACCTAACTCCCTCACTGCACCCCCTGGTGCTGGGAGAGTGCGAGATGATAGTGCTACACAATGTGGCTCTCTCTCTCTCTCTCTCTCTCTCGCTCTCTCTCCTTGCCTATAAATTGCATTCTGTGAAATCTGCTGGCAGACTTTTAAATGAGCTTTAGAAAGTAGGTCTAATCATGTGTATCAATCTGGGACAGTCGTGTGTGTGTGTGTGTGTGCGTGTGTGTGTTTCTGTAGAAGTGGATGAAAGCCTGTGTGTCTTTCTAGGATGTCTGAGCGTCTTTCTTGTTGCAACCACGGCCCGTATGTGTGTGAGTGTTGTCTGTGTGTGTGTGAAAACACACGCACAACAATGTGTGTGTCTAGGTGTGGATGTAAAAACCACGGTCGAAGCCGTGTTCATCAGTGTCTCCTGGGTGAGCTTGTCTCTTTCTTTCTCCCCTGCCCACACACTTAAAGACACACATCTCTGATGTTGAAACATTTATTAGCGCGCCGTTCTAGCCCACATCAGAGCTCGGGTTCAAAGGCACTGACTTCTCCATTGTGTCCAGTCAGTAAGAGACGACTAAATCAGTCACGGCAGACAGTCAGCCTTTCTGCAGTTTCTCTTGCACTCTGTTTCATCAGAGGCGGAGACAACAGGAAAGAACCAACCTTGAACTGAAGGCGTTCACATCTATAAACGCACGAGTTCAGTCTGAATATCCGAGCAGACCCACCACTATCCTCGTGGCTAACATAGCTCTCTGCTTTGTTTGTTCAGATAGAATTAAGAGTCTTAAAACGAACTCATCCTTCCCTGCATCTGGCCTGGATTAAATCCCTTGACTGACTGCCACCATCAGGGGAAAAAACATTTAGTTTAGTGAGGAGTGTCCAATGAAATTGTACAATCTTTCCTCCCAAACCTCTCCTTCTCTTATTCCCAAACTTCCAAAAAAATGTTCTTCTTCTTCTTCCTTGTCCCTCTTCCTAATGTCTCATACCTACATCTCTCCCTCTTTTTGTCAATTCACTGCCTTTCATCCTTTATTCTCTGTCAGCAGCCTGGTTCTCTTCTCCCTTTTAAACACTTTTCTGGTCTGCAGTGTCCTTGTAACACCACCCAGTGTACTCTGTCTCTTTCCTCACCTGCCTTATTACTCTCACTCCCTCTTTAATTTTTTTTTTGCCTTCCCTTCCCGTCTTTTCCCTAACCTTCTCGCCTCTCTCCTCTTTCTGAGGCGATCTGTGACTATAATGTTGCTAAAGAGAACACAGTGTGTCAGCCTGAATCAGACAGATGAGCTTGCGATGAAATAAGAGGCTGAGCGCACAACATTAATCTACACACACACACACACTAACACACACACAGAGCATGCACATATCTGTGCCTGAGGGTATCTACTGAGCAGACACAGATGTATTCAAAAACACACGCATGCACAAAGGTGCAGTATTTTATACATGACCACACAACAGACATGAGACAACACAGTGAAACTGGGAAGCACAGTCTGAACTACGTATTTTTTCACCCACATTTATTTACGTCCTCATCAATAATATTCTCATCTGATTTCTCAGCCACCAGGCAGTAATCTCAAATAAAGTGATAAGATAGAAAAATAATGGATGAACAAATTGATTTGTCATAAGGCACGAGCATTAAAATGGCTTCAAAGTCAGCTGAAGTTGTGGAGTTTCATACGTTTAACACGTAGACAAAGATCTGCAGGTGCTGACAGCAAGCTGTGCAAACACTGAATATCCAGTACACACAGTAAGGGTAAGCAAGTCTGTCTCTGTTAAATACCCAAATCTCCGAATCACAGCTCAAATGTCTGATTTATTCTACGCCTTACTGTGAAATTCAGTCTGATTACTAGTTTCCAAATGGGAGACTTCCGATTTTCTTTTCTATAGCAGCTCTCACTGAAGGTAAAAGTGTTTTCAAAAAGCAGGGCAGCGTAGGTGAACGGAGCTCTGCAAATGGTATTCATACTTGTACTTTGTGCAAGGAGATGACCGACATGTCTACACCCTCTGATTAGCTGGGCTACAATGCAACCTTATTTAAAAATACACAGAGGGATTCTAGAAGGAGGAGAGGAGTGAAACCTGAGAGCCATGAATTATAAATGCAAAAGCAGGAGCAAACGTGACGCCCACAGACACTCTCTTACGTATTTGACTCGATGTTTGTGTTTGCACCTAAAGTACTACCGGCATCATACATATCAAGTCCTCTTGGTAACAAAGATATCAGGTTAGCCAATTCAAAACATGTATTCTATCCAAAATGGTCAAAACCCTTTGCCAGCCACCTACATCAAAACATATCAATACCAATTAACCAAACTACAAAAGTGACTGGGCAGGAGTGAAGAAATATTACGAAGTTGGGTTTTGTTATCGTTTTCAGAAAATGGAAAACTGACTCATGACCAGCTTCAAGATTCAGCTTGTATATGTGAGGACAATGTTCAAAGTTAGTCGGTATTTTTCTGTTCAAACACAAAGACCTTTAGAAAGGACAGCTATTAGCTCACTTCAGGAAAGACTTTTAGAGCCTGAGTACTGATAGAGAATGACAAAGACTAAAGATCACAGCAAGGTCGAAAAAGAACACAAACAACAAAGGCATTGCTGAGTCCTTTCTTCTTCTTCTTACAAAACAATCCTATTTGGAACGTCTAAACATCGGTGAAAGTCAATACGCTTTAGAAAGAAAAGAGAACTATGTTAAAACTACAGCTGTTTAAAACTACTACACTCTTAGTGATGTATATTATCAGTTTATTCAAATGTTCTAGATATGGTATTGTCTAAGGATGAAATAAGCTATACTAAATATTTTTCCTTGGTTCAGTGTAACTGGGATCTAATGTTGTTTATAAAGGTTCCTAAAGTGAGATCAGAACTTGGGTTAAGATTTACATACATATCGTTAGCCACATGGTGCCATTTCCTTATTTTTAATAACTTTTAACACGGCTCATTCACTGTTCCTTTAAAAAAAAACATATCTGGTGTTTGAACTTTTCAGAAAAAAATGTGCCAAATATTTTTCTGAAAACCTTAAGCTAAAGAAATGCTAAATAGATTATTCAACAATAATTGTCGTTAATAATAATAAACAATAATCTTTTTTTCAGATACGTGTTGTGTATGCTGGCGGTTGAACTTTATTTACGTGTTGCTGTGCTGCCTTCTTGGCCCGTTCACTCTTGGGAAATAGATTTTAATCTCAATGAGGTTGTTACCTGGTTAAATAAATAAAGGACGTTCAACTGATGAACAGCAGTAAAGGCAGGAGCAGTGCAGCGTGATGAGCAGAGCCCCAGCCTGTGGAAACAGGCCTCAGTGTGGATGACAGGACTAACCAGCTAAATATAGCCTTCTGGGTTATCTCCTCTGTGGGCACAGCCAGTCCGTTGTTGCTTCACATTATTTACGTGTCTGTGCATGCACCCTCTCTCTCCCTCTCTCCTTCTTTTCCTACACCTTCCTCTCTTTTCACACATAAACACATCTTTTCCTCACTAATCCTTTCACATCATCCCTTTTTCCAAACCACAACCCTTCCTCACTGCATTTCTGTCCCCCTGGAACCTCCTTCTTGTTCCTCTTCATCATTTTTCTCACTCTCTCTCTCTCTCCCTCTGTACTTCGCTGCTGCCTCCATCACACACTGTCTCTCGTTCCTCTTTTATTCACTTTATCTCTGCCTCCCTTTTTATCCTTCCCTCCCTCCCTTCAGCAGCTCCCTGTTATTTTTCTGTATGACACAGTCTGAGCTCTTTTCCTCTAAAGCCATTTTTCCCTTTGAGCCTCTCTTTCTCTTCCCTCCCTCTCATTTTTTTTCCCGATCTGTGCCTGTGAAGTAGCACAGCACTGTGCATGCATCACTACTCACCATGCTCTACACCGCAGCGTGTGCCATTTCAGATGATAAAGCCGAGGGAGATAACCATCTGCAATGCTAACGTGTGTGCGCATGTCATCTGCATGTGACATCCTGCCATAGAGATCAGTTAAGGCTGAACCTAAATGTAATGCGGACAGTTTTTGGAGCTTTCACTGCCACTTTAGTCTGACAACAATAGAGCTGTAATCAACTAAACAACGTCTTGGTCCACTCAAGCTGTGAAATCAATACATAGAATGTATTAATGTATATTTAGAAACAAACAACAAAAATTGACCAATCAGAATTTTGGTCGTCTGGGAGATTTCAGCCCTAAACAACAATTTAAAGATCAAAAATCTATCCGGAATAAAATAGAAAGTTCTATCTATTGACACCCAGTAGTCTATGGACAGACACGGCAGTGTATCCCCTGCTGTCAAAGGACCACTTCTGTTGTATCAGCTTGATTGCTGGAGAAGGTGGATGATTGCTTTGACTACTTGCACACAGTAATTCTGTGAAACCACAGCTAAAACCAGAAGCGCCAAAGATGAAGGAAGCATTTTTGAGGAGCTCTGTGATTTTCTTTGTGTGTGTCCTGCCCTGCACAATATTTACTGTATACCAGCGTATATCATTTGATGTTCTTCCACCCAGGAGAACTTTATGAAAAGAAAAGGCTCTTTTTTTTTTAAATAAAAGAGAATAGTGAATGGCTTCTTCAGCTGAGGAAAACACCAAGGCTTTAAAGTAGCTTGAAATAATAAAAGAAAAAAGGTCAGAAAAAAAAGCCTAGAGGAGCTCTTTACTGTTAGATTTCTAACTGGTGAATGAATATTTCAGTTTTTAGATTAGAGTACATTAAGAAAATCAATGTGGCTGATCTAAGGCATGGATTCTACTTTCAGGCAACAACACAGATAATTCTTTCAAAGTGTAAGTGGATCAGTCAGGGTAACATTTGGCATTGCGGCACTGGTAAAGGTCTGATTGGACTCACCATGATGTAGTGCCTTTGCATCTCAGTCTTCTCACTGGCCAGCTTCTCACACTCCAGCTTCAGACTGGAAGGGACACACAAAAACAACATTAATAGAATGCTAAAGAAAACTAATATGAGAGGTACCATGGTGAGCATGTGACTGCTCACCAACACCTACTGCAGGTGTGTGATGTAGTTCAACAACACTGTTAACCAGCTCAAAGGGTCTTTAAAATGTACAGTTTGACCAGGTCTTCTTCTTGTTTGTTTTTTTAAGAGGCACTATTTTGACCTCACATAAGTTGACACTGAATGAAATTATGCAAACTCAATTTGGATACTTACAAAATGCCTTTCGTTTTTTATACTAATATGTATGTATTTTAAAAGTTGACTGTGTAATATCCAAGAAAGCAGAGCTAATGAATGCCTGCCCCCCCTCCTTTCTTTCCTTTGTTCATCAGGGGAAGATTGATGATATGATTGTACCAGTGGAAATTAGCCACAATCACAAGACATTTCTTCCCTCTCATAGTCATTGTTTCATGTATTGGGTATTCTCTAGACAAATGATCAAAATCTGCTTTGTCCCTTTTGTACAGACATGGCATCATGCCTTTGCAGCCTCCATGTCATCATGCAACTGCAAAGTTCCACAAGTCAAAGGTCAATAGTTAGGTTGAGTTCTTGTGGAAGAGCAGGTAGCCAACCATAGCTGCTCAATATTATAAACTACGGAGGCTAATCAAGTATGGTTATCCATATAATGGCCAGATCATTCATGGTCTCTGGTTGTAAATGTATAAAAAAAAGTATGTTTCTTAAAACATATTCTGTAGGTGAAAGAAATGGTGAAATGTTGATCAGTACTGGCTTGGATGTTGTTTCCCTGAAATCTCCAGCTCCAGACGATGGATAAAGATGTTTTAAATTGATTGCAAATTCCAACTAACAAAAATGTTATATTTGCTTAACATTTTATAAATCTATAAGTCATCGTAATAAACTTGAGATGAAATATACAAAGGTAAGTGCTGTATCATTTCCCCTTTTACTGTAAATTTATACCTGTTAAAAATGTGATGTATTGATTTTGGCAAAGATGTTGAATCAGTGTGTAAAGCTTTGAGGGAGGATTTTATGTGAAGGGCTGCAACTCGCTATCAATCTTCGATATTTTGTACACTCTGGATAGCCATAAAGAATAGAGAACAGCAGTAACATGCTGCCATGTTATCTTTATTGGTCCTCTTCTTCAAGAATTCAACAGCTTTTACGACTCTACTATGTTACACTGTGTTTCTTTAATTATTACATTTACAGTTAAGAATAAATTAGACAAAGATTGTAGATGACACTGTGATTTTTTTAATGCCAGTGTACCAGTATATTTTGTTTTTAAGAAGCAGAGTACTTCTGTTGTGTACCTGTGATACTGAGCTTGGAGGAACTGGAATTCTTCTTTGATGCGGTCCAGTGTTTCCAGAACTGTGAACTTAAAAGACTGGCCCGGCTGCAAAGGGACCTAAAAAAGAAAAGTGGAGAGAATGAGAGCATGAAAAACTGAGAGCGGTGTGTGTATGTGTATGTGTGTGTTGGTGTGTGTCCAAGAGCAAGTTAAGGGGAGAAAAAAGCCAAGATGAAAGAAAGAGGGAAGGTCAGTTTTCTTCCTTCACATCATAAAGCCTCATGTCTGTCTCTCTCTAATGACTCGGCCTCCCTTATTTTACCTCTCGTTCTCTTCCCCACCTCTCCTCCTCTTACACATAAGCATCCTTTCTACTCTGCCAGTTTGCTAATGTATTCCAGCCTACAAAGAGCCGAGAAGGGAGGAAACGTCAAATGAATAACTTATAGGGAATCCCAACATTGTCTCTCACCTGCTAAAAGCTAAAGGCGGCTCGACAAAACAAGCAGACCCTAAGGGCCCCCCAGATCTCCTCATCTCTTTAGAGTGCTTTTGACAGCCTTCCTTGGGATTTTCATTAAATTTGCGAAACAAGGACAGTGTGGATATTTTTGTAGCACTTTCAAAGAAAGAAGAAAAGATGCCACTTTTATTTTACATCCTTTCACCGTCGTCTACATTTGTAGTTTGTGTTTATTCCTGCGCTGTGGGGCTCCAAAATGCCAGCCTGGGGACCCGGTGTCATCACCACTCGTTCTTTATAGATATCACATCATCACATCCCTTTCTTATCAGTCAGTGTCAGTGAGAGGTCACACTGACAGAAGCACATTAAGGCTCAGACTGCTAAGTCTGGGCACTGTTGTAAAGATGCCTTATGGCTTTGACAAGTCATGTGACCATAGTATTCTCCATTGTGATCAGGTTATTCATATGATTTTGAAATAATTATTTGACCAGTTTAACAAGTCATCTGTAGCTGTGGTCAGATGTAAGGAGCAAAGTTTTATTCGAACAATTTTCAGAAAAATATTTTTTTTCTGAATTGCTCTATTGGCCAATATGGCTCATCTGTATCATCCCATGTATCAGCTGTATTTATGGACCAGGGACAAACATCAGACAGAAAACACAACAGAAATTAGTTTGAAGGTTTGTTTTTCTACATTCTGTGGGGGTGCTTCTGTTGACATTTACCCATTGCCCTTGTTTTTAGACATAGTCTATGTATTTACAGGTAATTTAAAATTATAATAACTTAGATCAGATGTGCTGATCCAGTCTATTTTGAGTACAATGGAAGTCCACTGTAAATATTTGTAAGCAAAAATGACAAGCAGTAACCAACAGAACAGTTGCAAGTCAAAGTAGCTTCCAAACTCAGCACAGCTGTTGGTGACTGCAGGGTTTGAGTCAGGTTCATATAAATACATCTAAATGCCAGCCAGAGTCAGTTTGTGCTCATCTGGTGTTTTCTTGGGGAACTAGACAGAATTAGATCAGTGAAAACGTAAGACAAATCCATCAACTTGAATGAGGACGTCCGTAACATTTGTCCTCTGGGTCGTTGAGGCCTTCTTTAAAGAGGATCAGATATGTGTTTGACAATAAAGGATTCTTCCATTCTAGGTTATAAACCTCGCTTTAAATTAAAAAGTTCTACAACCAGTCTACCAACTTTATGATCACCACTATACAGGGAAGTCATTCCTCTATTTCCAAAATTTGCCCTTGGCATCACCTAAAGACACATCGTTTTTTAACCATGGCATAATAATGTTAGGACCAAACCCACAGTACAGCACCAAAGAAAGGCCAAAAAAGTATATAAAATGGCATATAATAATGTTTAGTTAAACACACACCTTATAGACTCATTGGAATTGAAGAAAGACACACACAAAGAACAGAGTCTCTTTATTTGTATGTTTCTATAACCATGTGCTGCCACTTAGAAGTGTACTTGTTGTTGTAATTGTTCTGCCTCTTATTGTAACATTAACAAACAAAGACCAATAATTTACTGTAAATAAGTAGTGGTTTCAATTAGCTGAAATTTGATGCAGCTCACCGACTGATCGCTACTACACACTAATGTGCCACAGCATAATGGTTGGGAAACGCTGCTCTATTTACAAGACACAATTCTGTATGCTGCGGTTTTAGGTACTGATGTTTTTTCATATTGTTGATTTTATTTAATACAAACATTTACCATTTACCACATTTTTTGAGCATCATAATACCAACAGCTAAGGTATCACAACAAACCTAACTCTAAATGTGTTTGTTTCATTTAATAGAAATTACTTTAACACTATTTGAGCTGAGAACACCGTACTAAATAAAAAATAAAATTGTGTGTGATTTTTAAAAAAAGCTTAACTTTGTTAAGTCCAGATTAAATTAATTCTAATTACAGAGAAATCTCTTTTACCTGTGATTATGATGACACATTTAAAATTGTTACACCCCAGAGACAGCTCCACAATTTCATAGATTATCTTCTTTTAACCCACCCACCCCATATATACCAATCTACTTATTTATCAAAAGAGAGTATCATAGTGCAGCAAAAAGACTTGCGGTTGCAGTGGCAGAGCTTCATTAGTCTAGACAAGCACTATTCAATTAGATTTCAATTAGTCCGACAGTGGAGGTCAAAGACGTGGTGGCTTCTCCAGTAATTAATCCGGAACCGCATTGAGCTGAGCTAAACTGAGTTGAGGCAGGCGTAGCAGGGACATCTAGATGGCTGGATGGGCACAAACACACACACACACACACACACACACACACCCTCAGGGTGTATGTGAGGGAGTGGCAAAGGGGGAGGTTGGCATGGGAATGCACGTCTGCCAACAGATCTCCCCTGACCTTGATTTACGCCACACAGTGAGTGGGGGAAGGAAGGAGGAGAGCTGAAGGAGGAGTGAGGCGTGGATAGCGATCTGCTCTGGAACACTAATGACAAACACACACACATGCACACACATGAAATTATGCATACAAAACAGTTCTTGGAAGTATCATTTAAAGCTTGTTACGTCACCTGAACTGGGCTGCAGTAACAGATTATTACTATGAGGGAGACTCGTCAGTGACACTGTCATTATTGTGGTCACTCTTTACTCTGTGACACTGTCATTATTGTGGTCACTCTTTACTCTGTTGTTAGGAATTATTTTTGACAAATAATTTGTGTCGCGGGTGTGAATGAGTTAAGAAAATTAAGTAGGACACATGTTGGGCCCTGTCAGTTGGTGAGGACAAACAGAGCTGCTGTCAAATAATTCACACTTACTACAGGTCGTAATAGAAGACTTTGTTTTGCTCAAGGACACTTCAGTAGGGATAACTCGATAGGATGAATGATCATCTGTCAACAATGTCTACAGAGACAGAGCCATCAGCAAGTCATACCCTATGAACAAAATAACAAACATTCGCTGTGTGTGTGTGTGTGTGTCTTGTTTCCTGTACTGTGACAGATGGCAGTCCAGACTCTATGGGGTCTAACATCACGTCACAAAGGGCCAAAAACAGCCTACCGTCTCCTGTGTTTTCATGTGTGTTTATATTACTGTGTGTGTGAGGTCAGTGTAGGGGATCTTGAAACCCAAAACTGATCCTGTTAATCTGGGAGGTGGGAATAGCGGAGGGTATTTAAGCCTGTTTCGAAAACCCATACACACTTACGCACAAATACACACTTACACACACCATGTGGGACGGCAATCAATCACAAATTGAGGAGCTGGCACAAGTAAGCAGAGAATTAGAAAGGATTACCTATGGGGAGAGGAGGGGAGGGAGGAGGGAGAGAAGGAGCGGCGTAGTGTGCGAAGACTATTTGACTGTATCACATAACAGAGTGGAGACTGGACACTATGGTCTGAAACGACACGGCTGTCAGTGTATGGCTAACAGTGAAGCCTGCCAGTCTGTAAGTCGTAGTTAGATTCTTCATTTGACTGTGAGTGACTCTTCCCCTGATAGTGTTAACATGTAAACATAAATAATGACACCTGACAGTACACACTTAATACAACAGAGAAGCAGCTGAAAAAGTCTATGTTAACACTGCAGAACTTAACGCTCAATTCAAATTTCTTTTGATTCCTACACAAGTGCCTTTAACGAAACAAAAATGAAGCTTCCACTGTATGTCAGTCCTTTTATAATTCTCATTTTATTTTTTCCAGTCGCTGATTTCATTTATTTGGGTTTTTTTTTTCTTTTGCATCTGATGGAGGAAGCTAATAAAATTCTTATTGGCTTGTGGAATTCAAAAGTCATTAATCAATAAGTAATAAAAAAACATGGCTGTGTGTGTTCAAGCAAACTCCAATCAAACACACAGCCCTTTAGTCTGCCAATCATTAAAGAAAATACCCTCAAATGGTCCGTCAGCTGGTCCACCCACTTGACAGTCAGTCAGTCAGTCAGTCAGTCAGTCAGTCAGTCAACTGTTCAGTTACCACTGCAGCTCACTAGTCACTGGGGTGCATTACAAATCAGTGAAAGATTGGCAGCTTAAAGGGTCCCTGGACTCCATCCAAACCTCAGTTTGATTTAATGACAAAGAAAAGACGTAACATTTATAGAAATATCCTGTATGTTAATAAGAGTGCAGACCTGATCTTGACATCTGCTGATGTGTAAAAGTTGTTGGCTGCTGGTACAGCGTTCTGCTTTTTGTCATGGTTCGACTCGATGCAGCTGTACAGCTGTCGTTTGACTTTTTACCATTTTACTGGGTTGCATTGAAATGCAGAAGGGAATTAAATGTAAACAAGTACAGGACGAAGAAAGTCGGTGGAGAATGTCATCGACCGAAGGTGACAGAGATCCACTTGGCATGTTTACAGTACGTGGCTTTCATTACTCCCACAAATGTTGGGGGACAAACAAACCGGCCGAGCCGAATGCCAAAAGCATAACAGGTTCGCTTTGAGCACAACCAAACAAAAGTACGCAGTGTAAAAATTTAAAAAAGGAGCACCAAACAAAAGTACGCAGTGTAAAAATTTTAAAAAAATCACAGTGTTGGCAGCTAGATATATTATGACTACATTAAAATACATACCTGTTCTGTGCCCACCTTTTAGAACCTGAATCAGACATGTTTGATTTCTATGCCTGACTGTAACAACAACAACTATGCAAATGAGTAAAAAAGAAAATCATTAGAAAAAGTTCACCCTGATAATTGCATAATTCATTGCAATGTTTTTTTCTTCACTCTTTTTTCAAATTGTCCTTCATTATGTCGTCATGTGGGAAAATGTCATAGACAGATTTTAATGAGGGCAGCAACAACAGAGCCTGTTTCTCCTCAGTTTCTCCGCGTTGACTTTTTCTCCTTTTATTGTAGGATTGTTTAATAAACTCCATCTGATCTTTATCCTGCAGACTACTGCCGCCACAACTTGTACAGAGAAGGAAATATTTGTAGTACACATACACACACCCACAGCACTTCATGTGGACAGGCACAAATCTTTCCTTCTTCTCTGCAGCTTCAAATGAATGTGCAGAGAGAACAACCTGGCATGAGCAAGAGATGTGTGTGCGCGTGTGTATACAGAGGAAAGGATATGTGTGTTTGCATGGTCAAATCTAATCAGAGGTCAGTGTCCAGTTATTGACATCTTTCCTTACCCTGAGAAAATAGTAAATCTTCTCCCCCTCTCCCTCCCTCCGTCTGCCCCCCTGTGTGTGTGTGTGTGTTTGCCAATCAAGGACTTGTACGTCTACAGCAACTGTGGAGGTCAGAGTGGGGACATTATTTACTGTTATTGTTGTTGGCTCAGTCTGTCGACTCACACAAACACACAACACTCCTTTTTCCACTATTTTCGGAACCACACATACACAGGCACGCTTTGGCAGCACAAGTTCTTTTACAGCAGGACAAGGACAAACATGGTCGCCTGCAAGACACGCACACATCAATGTTTACACCTGCACATAAAGTCATTTAACACTGAAACCAAACCTGCACAAACAGCTCTGATAGAAGAGAACACACACCCACACGTGACTCAATAAACAACAAACAATGTCCATACAAATGTACACAGTACTGTCCATGCTGTTAGAGACAGTATAATTTGATGAATGAACATCTTAGATTTTTACTTTATCCATTTATGCAAAGGCAGTTTTGTTTTTTTTCAAAACCACCCACAGAAAATTAAAGTCACAGCATCTAAAGCAGCTGTCCAAACTGGCATCACTCAAGTGATGCTGTGGGCAGTCATACATTCACTGTAGACAGTACTGTTTGTCAGTTTGCATGATAAGCCTATATTTTATGTGATAATTTACCAACAAAAGAAATGCACCGTCTTAGTGCTAGTTGTAGATCATGTCCTGTATGACAGCTGAGGTGGAACCAGTCCAGTCCAGCTCCACTATATCTATAATCAACCCATTTCTGATCCATGGTCTGCTTCATATAACACGTTCAGCATCTTCAGTGGTGATTAATAATTTAAAATATGTCACATTTGCTTGTCTTGGGCATGCATATTTAATCAACACACTTTTAAACCTGATTTAAAGCCCAATTAAAAATGCTAATGTTTACATTCCGGTCAGTTAGTAATAAAAATATTTAACAAAAATTACGATAGTGTCAATTAGACAAATGTAAATGTGTGCTTTATGAAGCACCTTGACAAAGGTGCATAGTTAAAGGCTCATACTTCACAGAGACATTTAAACATCATGTTGTGTTGGTGTCATGCATCATGGCACGTCTTACAGATGAAAAAAGAAAGAAAGAAAGAACATACCACAAACACAGAGCATCGCAGCAGCAACTCTCTAACAGACTTCTAAAGAATTTTTTTTCCTTTGCATTTCTTTTACTGGTCTTTCACTTCCTCCCTTTGTTTTTCATTTCTCCTTTGCTTCTCTCTGCACTGCTTTTTCTCCAGCGGCTGACTTGTTAGCATTCTCTCTGTACACATAATTGATTCCTTATGCCTTCCGCTTGTGAAAATGTCATTCATAATTCTGTGTGATAGCGAGCTAGCAGGCTCGCCGGCCAGTTGTCAGTTGTGGTACATGACCAATTTATAGCAGAAACACACCCTCACACCCAAACATGATGTTACCAACCAGGCATGGGTTGCTGCGTGCGGCCAGAGGCAAACATTAGCCAAACTGTTAGTCATTTTTATTGATTTATATTTTAATCAAGAATATTGAGGGTTGGATTAGGCATTTTAGAGGTACGTTTAGGAGTAATACTTTTTAAAAAATGTGATGCAACAAGTAGTATTTAAAACCAAAATATGCCTATAATTTATAATTTCCTCTGTGACTGTGTCAGAGACACACACACTGTGTATCTGTGCCTGTATAAAAGCTACATCTACACACCTGCACACAGATAAATGCACATACACACAGGCACATGCATCAACACTTACACATAAGGACACAAGGTACGTATGTAACCAAGTCCTCAACAAGATCTTTGACACACTTCACTTCAGTTGACTGAGCCAAAGGTAGTCACTGTGTATGTGTGTGTGCTTCAAATCACACAGTCCAAACACTAACACTTTTTCACCTGAATTCATCCTATTAAAGTATGTTCTCTTTATCTTACCGAGAGAGAGTGAAGAGCAGAGAAAAAGAAGCAGGACAGACAGAGGAAGTAGAAGACCAATCACAGGAAACATAAAGAGGAGGAAAAGAGAAAAATTATATTTGGGAATAGATGTAAATCTAAGAGGAACAGTGTCAGAGAGATATTTGGAGGAAGAAGGTGAGATGGAATAAAAATAGAAGAAGAAGAAAAAAAAGAAGAGTAAAACAAACATCAGGAGTCTCTTACCGGATGTCTGCCCTGAGGGTACATGATCCCAGGAGAGGAGACGCTGCCAGTCCGTTTGATGGCCAGGTTAGTCCCCTGGCCCTCCAGTCTTTTGCCCTCCACCGGGTATGCACTCAACACACACACAAACTCACACTAACACTAAGTCCACTCGCTGCCCTGGAGCTGGGCTGAGGACAGTAGTCTTCCTAGATTGCTTTCTCCTCGTCTTGTTAGGTGAACTCCAGCCAACAAAACTCTGCAGTTCTGTGTTCGTTAGTTCATCTGTCCAAAGTCATAATTAAACACAGCACCAGACTTCACCTCCTTCTTCTCCTCTCTGTTACAGCTCTGTTCTTCTCTATGTCTGAGTCTTTCTATCTCTCTGGTCTTCTTCCTCTGATCAGTCAAGGTCCACACTGTAGTGACATGACAGAGGATTTCATCAAGGCAGTCACCCCTTTTCCTCTCCTCCTCTTCTTCCTCCTCTTCAGCTGATGGCTCCTTCACCTGGCTGTCCAAAAACAAAACATAAACATACTCTTAGCCCCTTTTAAATATTCGTCCTCTCTGCTTTTTACTCCTGTCCAACCTCTCTGTTACACTAAAGCCTCTCCGCTGACTACTGCCGCAGAAAAGGGAAAGAAGGAGAGAGCAGGGGAAGGAGGGAGGGGAGTAGAGACAGGGAGAGGAAGAGAGGGTGAGCTTTGTTTTTAATCTAAATGTGGAAAAAATGCAAGAGGAAAGCAGGAAAGAACAGCAGGTCAGTGGAGGATCCAGCGGGCTTTTCAGCAGCAAGCCCTAGACTGTAATATATTGTGCCTGTTGGCTTCAACACAAACATGACAGGCTGCTAAAGCTCCTCTTAAGGTGGAACTGAGCAGATAGAGACACCCAGTAACAGTGAGAGAGAGAGCGAGAGAATGAACCTAGGAGAGAGATGGATCCCTTTCAATTGTGGTCAGACAGAGAAAGCAATCAGTCATGCACAAAGACTTCCACTCAGGCTGATATGAATCAGAGTCCACACAGAAATGTTACAATACTTATATACATGGTGATTACAGTCATGCCAGAGACACGTGTTGTCATAGGCTACTTTTGTACACATCACTGAGATATACTGTAAGTCAATTGCAAGTCGAGAAGTGCTCAGACACACAGAGAGTAATTTCAAAACTTGTTTGATTTTAATGTAACTGAAAAATATGTGTACTAAAACAGCTGTGACAAGTTTCATTGTTGTAGCTTTCTAAGGAAATAAGCCATGTTGAAGTGAAGCTGATCATTTTTAACCCTTTAAATGCGCCAAAATGTAGCTTAACCCAAACTTTAATGAAAAACTTCATCCCATTATATTTTTCTGTTTCCTAAAACTGAATTATAACAATACACATTAATTCCCCATCATATATTTGAGAATAAAATGTTCACATATTGTAAGGCATGGCAGATGAATAATACACACACTGCGGGAGAAGGTTTTTCAATGAAGCGCCTCCAGTGTGAAATACCATCTGAACGTCCAGTATTTGTTTTTCAAGGCTTCAAATTCAGGTCCGACACCCAGCCTGTGTCCAGACCAGCTTGTCTCTCAGTTCCAGAAATATGAAAAGGAAAACAAAACACTCATATTTAAAGAATGTTGACTTATCTCAATTAATCATGATTTTTCCACAGCGCCCCTGTGAGTAATGGGACAGTCTTAGACAGTCTAAAAACATTAAGGAGAAGCCCAACAGCCCTCGAACAAGGCAATGAAAACACAACCTGCGTGAGACCCAGTGAGTAAGACATCAGGAAGAAGAAATCCTCTGATGTAAACACTGCGTGCAGAAAGTTTTAGTCCTAATTACAGGATGTGTAGAGAAATATGGATTTTCCATATTATTTTTTTGGCCTGTATTATGAACACTCACTGTACGTAACCATCTATCCTCCAACATCAACGTAATGTATACCCAGAGGAATAACAGTTGTGTAAAGTGAGATGTATTTAGTCAAATAAAACCTCGGGAAATCTTAAAATCACTGTAAGAATCAAGGACCAAAAACCTCCCTGAGAAGGGGTCACCAAGAAGCCAAATATACTGTATGTCCACTGCACCGACCAGTACAATACCTGGTACTGACTACTATGTTATTCTTTCACAAGAAGACACTGTCCTTGCCAGACACAGCTTTCCTCTCTGTCCAGCAGCTTCCAGCTCCAGGCATCAGGGATGTCTGTTATCAAGTGTTAAAGCCAGACAAACTTGTGACTATTGGGTAACACAGGATTAGTAACAGTTACTCCAGGTTTAGCAGATGAAATCAGGCCAACGCTGACAGAACACATAACACAGAGCAAACTGAGACACTTAGGTTCTGTTACACTTTTTTGTTACATATAAAGCATAAAGTATTACTATTTTTTATGTGATCAACTACTAAAAATCCCAATACAATTGATGGCCACACAAGAGCAATCCAGATCAACTTATATCTGATAAAAAGCAAAAAAAAAATAAAATAAAATAAAAAAAATCTCATTATACAATTCTACAGAGGTTGTGGATTGTCTCTAAGATCTGAATTTACTTAAGTTAATTTTAGCTAACTAACACTGCTCCTTCTCTACCAAGGAATAAGTAAGGTTATATGATTTTTGGTTTGGTTCCAACACTTACAGGTTCACCTGACGGGTGTGCATAAAGGTTCAAAAGGTTATATTCACACTTGCCATTTTCAACATGGTTTTGGTTCATAACAATATTTGAAAATGACAGCAGTAAGAAAATATGCTTTTACTAGACTAAAATAGGTTTTAAAAAAATCTTATCTTAAGAAAGAAAATTCTTGTTGACAAGTTTGGGAATGACAAAAGATGGTGAATGGGAGATGGTGAAAAAAAAGTACACAAGCATTACCAAACTAATGTAATGTAGTCCATTTAAGCTATAATTAATGATGTTGGGCAGTGGAAGTTTGATTTTACCCTACAGGTAGGTGCATAAGCTAAGAAATATCAAGATTAAAATAGAACTGCTGCAGGATTGATTCACAAAAACTATTTATTTATACAAAGAGAACAATCTGCATCTGTTTCATGATTTCTGCTTAAATTGTGACCAGACTTCAACCAGTACAGAGATATTCAACCACTCAGTGGCATCTATACTTTGGTCTCATTGGAGTCAAGTATGTAGCATCCATAACAGTTATCTTTCCAGATATATAGACATGGACCTTTAAATATACATCTATATGCATTGCCTGTTGTTAATCCATTTACATTTGCCCACAGGTCACATGTTGTAATGATGTCTGTCTTTGATGTTTTCAATTTTCCAGTGAATCACAGTGTTTGGTTCCATCTAATCACACCGATCTAAAATTGTTTAGTTGGCAGACATGTTTAAATGCCCTACAACCAACAGATCCGTGTAGATGGAAATCAAAACTTCAACATGAACTGGCTCTCAACCAAAGACTTTTCTTAATTTAACCGAGACCTTGAGAAAGAACATGTTGTACAGGTTTAAAAAAAAAAAACCTAAGATGTGTACAACATAAAATTAACCAGTAAGAGTACAGAGAAAAGGAACCCCAGGCCCACACTGCGATACCTGGCAAAAGAACAAAACAGAAACACCACTTAATGCCCAAGATGTCATCAAAATCAATACGTGGAATATCTGAGGGATTACCAGTGTAACACCCGACACGTATCCCTGCTACGGGGAGATAAAAATGTCTACCTCCCTACCTTGGCTCCAGAGCCAGAGTTTTTTTTCAGGTTGCCCAGAATACACCAGGATCAAATAAGACCTGGCATTCACAGCTCTTCTACATACGGTGCACTAGTTTGACCAGGCGGTGTTTTGGCACTCCCTTTAATGAGTTTAACCGAGGACTCGCTGCCTTTGAACTGAATCAAACAGCCAATAATCTGACACTGTGGAATCTGACACACTCTGTCCTCCTGGCATCTGTGGACAGTTTCCAGTAGGACAAACTGTTTGTTAACAAGCAAGTTAGCCAGAGGACAGCTCCAAAGACTCACTGAAGTTCATGCTCAGACACCTTATTTACTTAAAACTTTCTCATTTGTCACACACACAATTTCGATAATAAGCCAACACAACTTTATTTCTTCTAAATACATTTTACACCCTTTAACTCCATTTGTTCCACACTTCACTATTTTCAATAAATACAGTTCAAATGAAAAGTTGCCAAATCACAGCATCTATTATGTCACAGCTCCTCAAAGAGAAAGGTCAACTTCTCACTATTTTAAATTGGGAAACCCAACAGAGCAACAACAGCAGCTTTGAGTATTATTTTTAGTATCTAAACCTGCGGGTAATCTCCTACTATGAATGCTCCACAACTTTAGCTTGGCAACCTTTCTACACTTGAAAATGGAGTATGGAGTCAAAAGGTAACAGCTGCCAGAAACTGTGCAAAATCAACTACCACCATCTGACTGAGGTTTCCAGTAGTACTTTTCAGCAATCCAAATTATTTTTCACCTAAGGCCTTTTCAACTAAGACTAACTGGACTCCACAGGACAACAGATACACATCAAGAAACACATTTTAAATCTCTTTGTTGTCATGTTATCCCTTTTCAAAACAGTATTGATTGATCATAGTCATAGACTGTATAGTGAAACAGCCATCACATTAGAGCTAATAGAACAACAGTACGAGTCAGTTTACAGCTCTGTGTCCTTCGTTTTTCCTACTTGGAAAAAAAATTGAAGTCCCTTGTTCGTTCCACAATGGGGAAATTCATTTTGAGTCTTTGCAACCCACACAGGCTGCCACGGGAGGCACCATTACATATATGGTTCCTCTTGAATCCCACTACCGTGCTCTGTGTGATTTTCTCTTAGCACTAGTCAACTTTTTATCTCTATTTCAGTGTATAAAAAAAGAGACAAAATAAATAGCAGAAGGTGAAACAATCACAAGTCGACATCTGCAAAGACTGCGAGCAGGAAGACTTTCCACTGAACAACATCCTTTCCATATCCAACTCTCTAAAAGCATTCTGAATGTACCTCTCCACCTTCACTTCTTAACCACTCAAAATCACTCCAATGGCCTTTTCCTATTTCTTTGCACTTTCTCTTTCCCGCTCAGAGACATAAAGTTCACAGAAACATCCGACACAAACATTCTCATCAAATCCAGCACCACGTTTCCCCATGTAGCCCATCGGACTAATCAGCATTATCTAATTGTCTAGAATGGATTATGCAGGTAATTATTCCCACAACTCCTCACACTAGGTTTCAGTGAGACAGATGGGCAAACAGACATAGGAACACAGTCAGGGCCCAGGCATCGCAGTTCAGACATGACAAGAAATCATTGATAAACCCGTGGCCTAAGGAAGAAAGAGATGAGTTTGGGATGTGAGTGTGATTTATTGCAATTGCTTTCTAAGCAGTGCTGTAGGATAAGCAGCTACCACAGTACAGTACCCTCCCTCCCCCCGTTGCTGAAAACCAGCAAACAGACTGGAAATAGTACATATACATTCTGCAAGAATAGTAAAAACTACTTTGCCTTACCTCAGCGTTGGCTGGGTGAAAAAAGCAGGGCATGAATGCAAGCTAGTGCCGTGTCAGCACCTACAAAGAGATGGTCACTGTTTAAAAGACAGAGGTGCAGTGTGGGTAAATAGTGCTGTACAGTAAACATGGCTCCAGTTACCTACTTTAAAGATAACACTGAGAATAAAGCCAGTGTTACTCCTCACTGACTTAAAATCCAGAGAGTGGAGAACTTCAAATACAGGAGTATGGATGTGAGGTCTGCCCTGTCTCCCTTTCCTTCTGTGTGTGTATGTGTGTATGTGTATGTGTGTGTGTGTGGCCTAATCAGTGTCATCATACTCACCTGTCTCTGTCAGTAGTCACGTCACCTGGTGCCCTCTCTCCCTCACTCTGTCTTTGTGGGATTGTTGTGTTCAGTGGCCATGTTAGTAGTGTTCTGTTCAAGCTGCCTGCTCTTTGTTCCTTGTTCTTGCAGCCTACTGAGTTTTGTGACTTGGCACTTTAGAAATACATTACCTACACCTGAAGAGAGTCCTCCTACTGCTTTTAGGTCCTGCCTGCTTCCTGCCATGGCTTAACCTAATAAGGGAGGGTTTTTGTGGCACTGTACCTAGCTGCCTGCTTCCTGCCATGGCTTAACCTGATTGAGGGTTTTTGTGGCACTGTACCTATGTTTGATTTAGTTTATCTGTTAAAGACACTGTAAAATGTAGTCTTTCGCTGCACTGTAATCAGATTAATTTAACTAAGTCATTAGAAATTACTTTGACACAGACATTTTTTGTATATAAAGATATATTTATTTCATCCTATTAGCTGCATTTATGGTATTATTATTAACATAAATCATAATAACATGATTATCAGAGTCTCAATTTATATATCTAATCCCACACAGATTTATCCAATAGTAGTGAGATTACTTTTACAGAATAGTACTATAAACAAGTCACTTGTTTATACTGTAGTTGAAAAGGAATGAACTACCACCTTAATTAGAAAGTCTTGTGCCACAGTTGGGTCAATAAGTGACACCCAGCCTTGGCTTGATGACAGCATATTTGTGCCACTGCTTTTAACTGACCAGTGCGGAAACACAAATGAAGATCCTGGACTGGAAGTGCCAACCCAGTGTCATGTCAACACCTCAATCAGACACCACCGACTTGTAGCCAAGATAAGTGAGGTCACTTTAAGTTCACACTTTAACTCCTTCGCCTACAGTAACTGCCCCAGCTCTTACTAATGCTTGGATATACAATATCTGGTTTCCAAATGACATTTATTTTTGTTATTATTAGAAACACTGTTCTTTAATCTGGCGACTGTGGCAATGTTCTACAGGTCCACTATAATGTACGTAATGTCAAAGTCCTCATACCTGTGGGAATACTTCAGTGTGAGGATTGGCAAGCATGAAACCCTGTGCTAATGATACATCTTAGGGCACATATCCCTGTAGAACAGGCTAAACTAAACGGGTACACCATGATTAAGACAAGACAAAACTGTTCTACAGTCCACCTGCACAGTATACATCCCTACCAACAAAAAATAAACATAAAATACATGAAAAAGCGTATTTTATAGTACAGTGTACGTACCTGTGGGGGTTAGTTCTTTATGAGTCTTTTGAGTCTTGTTTGGTAAGAAGTTCCAGAATGTTCCACCTGTAAACAGCACAAAAAGCTGTTAGTTAATTACTCAATCATTAGAGTAGACGTCACTATGATTAAATCCACCTCACCCATCATTTAAGTAACGACGAGTCTCTCGTGTTCTGGGTTCTTGCATCAATAACGGACTGTAACGACGAGCCAAGCTCGGGTTTCACGATAACACGTCTCAATTTAGATTGGACTAAATGTCAGACTTAAATCCACAGTTCCACCTTAAAAGCTCGTCCTCGTCTTAGGGCTTCCATACCTTCTAATTGGACAAAAATACCCCGCTTAGCCAATCCTCGTTAAGATGACCCACGTGGGGATCATGTTGTCGCACAGTAGTCAGACCAATCATGAGCAGACGAGGCTGATAAATGGGCGTGTCTACTGGCGATGGTAGATATTGTGGCGGGGCTGAAGGGGGAAACGACGGAGTCTGTGGGGATTATGGGCATTGGAGTTCCAATTATTCCGCGCGACCGCGCTGTGCACACGCACAAACACAGACGCACGCTGTCAGTCATGCTACATAAAGGCTCAGTGAATTCCACCGTTAATTTCAAACCTGTTAATCTATTTTTTTTTAAACAAAGACATACTCACACGTACATACACTATTGAGTCAAATTGGGTAAAAAAAGGATTTCTGTCCTTTTTCTCTGCGTTAAAACAATAGACTCAAATGATGATTCTTTCTTCTTTCCTTTCTTTATTTCCCTTTTTTCTTTCTTGTCCATCTGCATCTCACAGGTGTTAAATCAAGTTGTATTTTTGAAATTTAAGCATTGATTTATTTATTTGGAATCCATACAGTTATCAGTCAATTTCAATCCAAGACTCAATGAATCAAGTGTGCACTGATACTCAACGACTGGATGGATGGATTTATATTGATTGAATTTACAGTAATAGTACATTGCACTTTTTTTAATGTACACAGATTGATCATTTTAATTAAAATGCACAGATAAATACAGATTAAAAACAAAATTAACAATTTCTGTTCAATAATCATGCGTATGTCTTTTAATTGATTCAGTTATGAACCATTTAATTGAAAATCATAGCTTGTTGGTCAGATATTGTTATTTGCAATAAATTGCCATCAATTACTTTTAAATCACCACACTATTAATTTCCACACATATTGCCCTCATCTATACAATTATGAGGGCAATATAATTTAAGGAGATATAATTACATACGCACATATCATGTTATTATACACATTTTTCCATGTTCTATGCATAAAGTAAAGTAAACATATACCACACAAACACATGAATAATTGCTCTGTTTATTCTGTTGTACCTTTTCAATGGTCCCTGAAGTGAGTGTTTCCTTTTCAAGCATCTTATTGTCTTTCTGTGCTCGCTACATTTTCTAACATTCCTACAGAAGACATAAAAAAAAAACTCTGCTGACCCTCACTTTACTCACTGTCAGGTCTTCATCAGTGCAGAAGGCCGATCTGAGGCTTTATGGATATGGTACATGCTTCTCCTCCCAGAGGATACTCTCATATTTATGAACGTACGCATGTCTGTGGAATTCAATATGCATAGTTTAGATAGAGGTCTGTGACTGTGCTAGCTGTTATAGAAGGAAGCCTCCAGTCTGTGTTCAGACTATGATGCCCAACATACACATTAACAGGTATTCTGCAGTACACGCTTGTCTTCTTATTCTGTTGATCCATGTTGACCTGATCCATATAGTGTTTTTTCTAGTGATTTCTATTTTTCTGTAGGCCCACGTGTGATTTTTGTCTTTATGACATTTGAAAAAAACAGCAGTAATATATTGAGGACACTTCCAAAGAAACATGACGATCAGATACAAACCTTTTTTGACTGAACAGACCCAATTAGATTTGGAAATACATATTTCCAAAGAATAAACAGAGCAATATATATATATACATATATATATACACAGTATATGACAAAAAAGACTATTCTATATATTTTTTAATTACTTTTCTTAATTAATTCTTCATATGAATTAATTCACTTTTATTGTTGGAGGGGCTTGATTTGTGGTGGCTGCCATATGTGTGTGCAAAAGCCTCCATAATTCTACTGCCATGAAGGGTGAGCCAGACAGGTCTTTTTTACTAATTGGACTTTACAGTCACACAATTAGATGCCACTAATTCTTGTCAATTTATATTCTGTTAAACACTGAAACATCACCAATTATAATATATTATATATTATAATTCCTAAAAATTTATTTTTCTAAAAATAAATTAATGATTTTTCAAATGTGACAAAAACATCTTTAAAAGTAACATAATTCATCACCTGCGTTACTCCTCCACATCCCCCAAGGGTTCCCGCCCCCTCTTTGGGTACCACTGACCTCACAATGTGACCATAAAACACCAGTCTCTTTCCTCATTTGTAAACAAAAATATGTTGCTGATTGGAGACTCTGCCTCCCTGTGATGTTGGAGTTTTACTGGATAAATACATTTACTCAAACATCAGCAAACACACGAGACACAGAAAGAAAGTCGAACAAAGGGAAAGTGAAACCAATATGTGTACAGAACAAGGTGTGTTTCAGGTTTCCCGCACCAGCAAACATGAGATTTCTTGACCCTGCAGAGCAAACATTTGGATATGTGTGTGTGTGTATTTGTGTACTCATGCACTGACCTGTTTGGGTGTGACGGTGTATGTGTTTAAGGGATCAGTGTGACTTCCTGGCTGGATGTACTATATGTCAAGCTTGTCTGTAAATGTGAAACATGTGCAGTAACACTTTTTGCCACAATTAGCTTAAACTAACGTATTTCCTGTTCCTGTCGGCCGGAAACAACTGGTCCATTGGTATTTGCTGTGTGCGCCTGTAAGTCTGTGTTTATGTGCTGCTGGAAATGAGTTAGTTAACATTTTTGAAGGCAAAAAAAACATTTTACCAAAAGGTTGGTAATGGAAAAAAATAAACACACTACATGCCATCCATCAGTCTTTTGGTCTGTCTATCCATCCATCCATCCATCCATATAAAAAATAAAACATGTTCAGATTAAGCCCTAATCTCCTCTGGTAAAATCAGTGTGATGTAACCATTAGTTCACAGCATTAAAACCAGACAGTATCACACTTCTTCATTTAAAATTCAAGATTAAACGATTCAAGAGTTCATTGGTCACATGATTACTTATCCTCAGAGCCAGGATTAGGTTTCAATGTAGTTATCAGTGAGATATAATCCTGATTGACTCCATATACTGAGCATATTCAACTTATTCAACATTGAAGTATTAGTAAATGCACATGAAAAAGTCCAACAGGAATGAATGTAAAAAAACACAACAAACACACCATGACATATATAACCAGGGAGCTCTGAACGTTAGAAACGTAGCTATTAACAGATTTTACAATAACAAAATGACAATAAATTGAAAAACAAATGCCCAAAATGTACACTGCTTCACATTGGAGCTGGGAAATATTGACAAAAAAACAAACAACAGACCACTGTGGCATTCTAAATACATGTCTGTTTAACTAAAGAACATTTACTGAAATAAACTAAAAAGGAAAGAGAAATGCATACAGAAATGTGCGATGACAAGATGGAGAATAGACCAGAATATCTCTGCAGTAGATGGTGAAGCACTGGCTGGTTGAGAAATCTCCTGCCAAGATAAAAAAAAAAAAAAAAAAAAAAATGAAAAAAACCTTCTGAGCGTCTCAGTCCTTGTGGTCAGGTTGAGGAAACATTTGCTTGAGTACAGCAGCTGAAACAGACAGTTAAAACAGACGGTAACCTGGGTGAGCTTTTCATCAGACCATTATGTAGAATATTAACATGTTGACAATATTATTTGGGTCATGACCCTTCAGGTCAACAACTACAAATCATGACATACAGAACTGCACAGATCACCTCTAGGAAACTGGCACGTGTGCTGGTGTAAATGGATCACCTTGGACTTGAACGGGTAAAAGACTGCAAAACAAAATTAGGTGTGATCACCTTGGAGAAGAAAAGGAAAAGAAAACAGATTGGAGGAATCATAATGAGATCAAAATCATACTGTCAGGAATCGAGGCAGGTTTCCAGCTAAGTATAATGAAGTCAACGTCAGCCATGGTCTTGTTCTGACATAGCCTACACCAATGATATAAATTAAGACAGGCACCACAGAGGAAGGGAGGGCGGTAGAGAGAGAGACAGGGAGGGGGGGAGGAGGGAGGGAAGCCAATTCCATATTTGCTTCATGTCATGTCCATCCTAGTGCACTTTCTCTATAAATCAATGTTGCCAAATGGCATTCTTATGTACTCTGTGTGTGTGTGTTTATGTGTGAGTGTGTGTTATAGGTGCATATGGCACATGAGGAGAATTTGGACAAGACTCCATTACTTTATGTGATTGTATTTTAAGGATTCGGTCCATATAGAACATATGCTGGTACCATAAAACAGCAGAGCAGTTTCTGCCTGGCTGTCGCTTCAAATGGAGCCTGCTTGTTGTTCCACTCTCTACACACGTTTGTCTGAGTGCATCAGCTTCTTTATCCCATCCAAAGATGTGTAGTTTGTTGAGTGGATTCTTGATCTGGTAAGAACGGTAAAACAACCCTCATGTCAGATGAAACTGCCTCAACTGTAGCTCTTTAAAAACAGGCAGATGAAGAGGGATGGATGGGTGGATGGATGAATGGTTGGACAGATAATAGATTAATTTGTAAATAGATGGACATGTTTGTGGGAATGTTCCTTAAACAAAGCAGTTCTATATTTAACTTAAGGCACATTTCTCTATTTTCACAGTACATACAAGTATTACAGTAGTACACGTGTACCTGTGTCGTTTTGTGTTTTTTAAAAAGCAAACATACAGAAACACTACTGTATATCAACAAAGACATTCAGTTTGACTTTCAATATTACAGCATTGCTATGCAGAGAAGTATGTTGTTGTTATTGCTGCTGGTTTACCCACCCAGGCCTAGTGGGTGTATTTATCTGGCTCCAGTGATACACACTGCTACAATCAGCTCACTTGGCAAAAGCATTTTTCTGTGACTAATTGTGACTGAGACAAGCTGAGGCAGAGTTTATAAAATACCTTTTCCCTTTCCATCACTGGCACCCCGCTCTATCTTTCTCTTGAGATGCATTAAACTTTTTTTTTCATTATGCAATCATCATATAATCACGATTGACTAAATTTTCCCATTATGTTCTCTCATATTATTATTTTTAGGATAAATCCCAATTTGATTCCAGTTTTGACTGTGAATTCAGGTCATTTTGACACATCAACACCTGACGTGTTGAGTTCAAGGTCACTTGGGTTTGTGAGTAGGAAACGAGTCAAGATCATTTGGTCAAACATAGTAAACATCTCAGTGTCACAGAGAAAGTCTAAGTTTTGGGGAGTGAAGCCCTGCAGTTACAAAGATGACCTCTGGGGGCTGACTGCTACATTATCCTTGACTTGTTCTAAATTCCACAGAAAGGTGACCACAGTGGGTTACAGTGAAAAAGCAGTATAAGAACAGTGATGGAAGTGCAGTGAATTTCAGCCACTTACAAATGGGGAAGAAATATTTGCAATATATACATATATCTTCGAAAAAATATGAATATCAATAGCTTTTCCACTCCTCTGGTACTTCTCAGCACCTCTTTCTCCACCTGGCTTTCCTCTGAAATATAAGTAAAATGTCATTCGTAAGTGTAAAACATACTGGCAGGAATTCCAGTGACCAGATGCAGGGTATTCAAAAAACACATGGTGGAAAAAAGAGAAAGGTGAGACAGACTCAGAGAGAGCAGATGCACGTATACGTGGGAAGCATGCTGGCTTTCTAAATGTGTGTGTTTGTGTGTGTGTGAGTGTGTGTTGGCCAAGGTGCAGATGGTAGATGTCAATGTTGGAAAAATTCATAATGGCATGTTTGGAGGATCCTCAGGGAGATCTTTGTGTATAACAGGCCGTAAAGAGAAGACACACACACACAGACAAACAAAGTCAGAGACAAGCAGAGGGTCTTTCTTTTGTGTTTAAGATTCAGCAACAAAGTCTAAGTTAAGGCCATTACATTCTTTCCGTGTCTGCAGAAATCCACTGACCTCACTGCAGTGACTGTCCTCTTCTCAGCCTGTCTGTGTGGCTGTCTGTAGTTAAACCTTCAGTGGACTCACGGACAGCACGGACTCAGACTCCACAGGACGACGACACACAATATATTGTTATTTATTATTCCAATCCAACAGGGGGCACCCTTGTTTGATTAGGTCACAGGTTATAACAAATGGAAGACAATAATGGAGTCTCACCTAAAAACAATGATGTTGGTCAAGAAACGTTTTAGCAGAAAGTCTTCGGGTATTTCACCAAAACCCCATCACAGCTTTTTATTTGTGTTGGGGGCCACAGGACGGCAGGATCACAGCTACACTACTCACTTCCTGCTTCAAGACGACTGATTTTTCTTTCTTGGAAAAAGACCAAACGTCCGTCCCATGAAGACTGGACAGTCGACGTGGTGGGGCACCTTAGGGTAGAACAGTACAGACGTATGAGTCAAGGCACAGAGCAAAAACGTTTTATTACACTTTTTTTTAAATTTATTTACTTATTTTTATTGATTGATTGATTTTTTCCTTCTCTTCTATATTTGTGGATTCTGTGTGTGTTAAATGTTATCCTAAAAGTAAATGTTAAGTTTGTTTACATGTGACTTCTTCGTGCTACAAAGACAAATAATACTACAGTAGATGTACTTCTGCCACCTACTGATGTATAAGACAGATACATTATATCAAAGTTAATATTACAAATGGGAAATTGAACACATTCTGTACATGTATACGATTGTTCAGCTTCAGTACCAAGAAAATGTTCTCTTAAATCTTCTATTTTCAAAATGTAGAAACACACACAGAAATCCTTACAGAGGAGAAGGACTTTTGTAGTTCTGATAAGTCCTGTCTGAGCTGATATTTTTTTCCACAGCCTCTCTCACATTGCATATGGAAGCATCAGCATTTTGAAACCTCCTGACACCTGAATAAGTTACTGTTCCCCTCTGGGCATTTCCCTGCAGGCACTGTTCCCTGTTGATTTGTGTATTTATGCCCAGGCTGTCGTTTTCCTGAAAAATCAAGTTTGAAGGAGTGTTGGTTGACACACTGTAGCTTTATAGATGGCCGGATTTGCCATAATGTAGATCAGAATGTTGACAGTCTGTACCAATATTAACCTGGCCTAGCCTGACGATGAAGATGGAGGAATATTCAAAAAGTGAAGATTCTGCTTTAAAGGCCAAAGGTCACAATGATGACACGATTAGCTGTGGAATATAATATAGATGTATGGTTGTTGATGTCAGGTGTTTGCTGAAACAACGTGTCAAATAGTTTGACAGCTGGTATGTGGGCCCCATACATCATTAACATACTTAAATACATGTGGTGAACTGACAACCAGATATTTGGTAACAGCTTTTCACTACAACCAGCCGACCACTGTCTCACTGGTTATTTTTTAAGCAGGTCAACAAAGTAAGGGGCGAAAAAGGGGCAAGTAAAGTTTGATACAAGGAATTTAATAAACACCTGACACGTGTAAGGGCACAGTTGATAGACAGTAACTATGCAGAAAGGTTATTATACTTTTTAAGTAATTGTATCCTTGGGTTATAGATAGATAGATAGGTAGATAGATGGATGGATAAATAGATAGACAGAACTTTTTTTTCCTTCGGGAAATTAAGGCTCAAATTCATAGTCTTTGCAACCCACATAGGCTGCATTAAGTATAGGGAGGCACCATTAAGTATGTGGTTGCAGCTCACAGGCTGCCACATGGGAGGCACCATTAAGAATATGGTTCCTCCGGGGCTTAAACCCAGAACCTTCTGTACATAAGGCAGATGTGTAAGGCAAGCGTGATTTGAATTGCTACACTATAGAATCACTATGGAATGCAAAAGTATTTGTGGTTTTTTTCAAACTCAAATATTCTTCTGATAGAAAAGAAAAGAAACCTGACTGTGGGAATATTCCTGCCGGTTGTTCAGAACTCTTAAATACAAAATATTATGCTTTTTTAAAAAAAAAAATTCAGTATCACATTTATCTGCTCACGATGACAAACAGCAAAACAAGACTAACACCAGTTTTCAACACCAAGCAAGTGACCTAAGATTGAACATCCCCTGCAAACCGATGGTGTGATGTATACTAAATATTAAAATTTGTAACCTTTGTATTTAATCTCCTATCAACAGAGACAGAGCATCACTGTCAGGGATAGCTCCGTGTCACTAGCGTGGCTAAAGTAACTATTTTGAGGCTCCCTGCCATAAGGATGAGCCTCAAGGGCCTTCAGTGAGTCTGTTACTCACAGCAGTCAAGGTCTTACTACATGTGCCCGTGTTACATATTAGTCAGTAAGGTGATCCTAATTAACCAACACAAACAGTGGTCAAAGTCTGTTTCCCAGATACAGTTCTAGAGCGAGGTGTTCTACACAGAAGTGTGCCAGGATCACTGGAGCAAACACAGTGTTCAGAGGCCAAGTGGAGTGAGTTCAGTCTCTCCACTCGGTAATGGAACCTGGCAGAGACCAGCATGATAAACCCAAGGCATCACACTGAGCTGAATATAAATACATGTTGTCACTGCAGCCGCAATTTTGACTTTATTCCTAGTTTGTTAGTCTTCCCCTGCAGCTGTGGGTGTTTATACAGAGTTGTTTACAACAGTGGGGCTCAGCAATACTTTATGAAAGTCAATGCGATATTACTTGTTTCAAAACTATTTGTCTGCTTCTTTTTGTATCTGTGAGGGAAATAGACAAGCATTGTAAAATTAAAATTAAAAATGCGCTTTTAGAGTCTTTGGGTCCCAAAAGAATACCCTGGCTGATACAGAGGTCCAGCAGAAGAATCAAAAAATAAGTAATGGCGGGTCAAATTTTTCATCCATCCATATCTCTAACATCTTTCCATCTCTCTGACCATATCTCTAACATCTATCCATCTCTCTGACATCTATCCCTCCATCTCTTATCTAAGCTATGTACAGAAATTTAGAAATGTTTGTTTACATAATTTAAATTCTATTTTTTTTAAATTTTCTTTCGTAATCAAACTTTTTTCTTTAAAAGTCACTATTTGCCTTCAGTAATTTCACTGGCAAAATGTCCCTCTACCACGAGCCACCACCACCACTCTGCCATATTGCTGGTCTCTCAGTGTTTAGTCTGCATCTGCTGTAAATTAATGTTTGGCTGCTGTAGTTGGAGTTGAGTAAGGCAGATATTGTACAACATACACAAACAAACTGGCTGTTAACTGATTCTCAAACATATTACAGCTAATGAGAGCAGTATTTTCAGCTCTCAGAGCTGTGTTGATCCTCGTCTTTTTGGGCAGCAGGCAGCAGCACGAGTGACAGTGGTGGCCAAACCTCACTCACACTCATTTCCAAGTGGATCTCAGAGTAGCTGAAAGTTAAAAAAACGACAGCTCCAACCTGGAATTCTGGGTAAAGGAGGGTCAACTGGGTAAATGCAAGGCTTCACATTTATGAATGTATAAAAAAGAGTTACTGCAGTAACATAAGTGAAGCCGTGGACACGCCAACACAAACCAGACCAAGGTAAAACACAGGATAGAAGAAATCTTCAAATCCTCCATTTAAATGTTCTCCACCTCCAAGCTGCAGATTGCGTGGGGGGGTGGAGGTGTGAGGTGTCTTTTTGTACAGGGAGGAGAGCACAGAAGTATGTTGTGTTATTGTGGTTTTTGTTGTTATTTTTGGTTTGGTTTTCTTTCTGGGGGAAAATAATTGGGTGTTGAGCAGAATGTAGAACGTGGATCCAGCCAAGTTTTACTGGAGTCCATATTGATTTTTCTCTGTCAATATTTCACATTGGAGGTGGCTCCTAAAACTGAAACCAAACCAGTCTGGACTGGAACTGGAACAGCGGGTGAACTTAGTGAATACATTACAGCAAATGTAACACACACACACACACACACACAGACACACTAAACAAAGCTACAGCCAAACACAAACTGACCAATTGATGAAAATATATAAAATAAATAATAAAATAAATATGTTATTTTAGGAAGATTTCAACATAGAAATAGAAAAATGAAGAATAAAGGGTATTGAAGGTCTATACACATATTGCTACTATATTACATATATAGCTATATATGTATATAAATATATATCCATATATATAAATTTATATATATGGATATACAGTAGCAACATGTACCCTACATTTTTCTTATCTTTTTGTACGTTTTTTAATAACATATAAATTAGCTCACAAACAAATGTGTGCTGTGGTTTTTTCTGGACGTACATCTGTCCTGACAGGAGGTAAATGTTTGGTCTCACTCAGCTCTGTTGTAGCTGTAGTTTCTCCCGTGGTTTTTACATGTCACCGTGTGTTGCTGGGTGAATTTACTTTCCTCATGGTCCAAACAGTTTATTATTTTTAAAGGTGTATTACTGGTACGCGCAGGTTAGCGTTTGGTCACAGCACAGAGGTCGCCCCGGGGACGGTGGGGTAATTTAAGTAACAAAGCTGTGGATAAATCGAGAAACTGACAAATTAGACTAATATTTCCTCAAACGGTTGGGTCTACCACTTTAAAACTCATATTTCAGAGAATAATCCCAGGCCTCCCATTCTCCTGGAGATTTGTGTGTGTGTGTGTGTTGTTGTTGTTAAAACTCAGCAGACAGTGCTGTACAAATATAGCCGAGAAAGTCGGCCTCCTGCAAATAGAACAGAACCGAATTTAATCAAATCAACACAGCATGCTTTATGTTCCAACACTCCCCCTCTGGCAACACCACCCTTTCTCCTCCTCCTCCTCCCTCTTCCTCTGTGCTCCCTGTCTGACTTAGTTTCTGTCTTGCCTCCTAACCCACAGTGAAACACAGATGATCACACACACATTCAGCCTCACGAGCGTCACCGTTTTACTACCACTCCTCCTACAAAGTCATTTCTCTCCTTCCATGTTCTCTCCCTCTTCTCTCCCACTTTTGGTTCTCTTAACACTGTATAAGTGCAGATATTATACCTGTGTCTACACACACACACACACACACACACACACACACGGACACAGAAAATCACCTCTGCCTCTCACAAAAACCTGTATCTAACAGTTCCCATCAGCTGAAGCACCATGAGTCATCGTGTTAATCACTTTCAACTTTATGAGCGACTGGCTTTCTGCAGGTTGTAATTATCTCATGACAAATTGTTGTCTGGCGGCGTTGTTAGAGTATTTAGACTACAGGGAGCAACGGGTCCAGGAACAGAGCAACAGAGGGACACTGGGTGCGTGTGTGTGTGTGTGTGTGTGTGGAGACAGTCAGTCAATCAGGACGTCAGTCCGTCGACCGCTGATTTAGCCAGCCAGGCAGCCAGCTGGGAGCAGACGGCTGAACCACAGTGGTGATGCAAACTGACCACAGTCTAACCACATCACCACCACACAGCACTGTGTCATTT